AAAAAGAAAACCTGATGACCACGTGGCACCAACCATGCTAAGAACTGGGGGGAGTGTTCCAGCCAGAGCACACAGAAAGTGCAAAGTCCAGGGGTGCAAATGAACGTGATGAATTAGAGGTATCAAGGACCAGAGTGGCTGGAGGGTGGTGAGTAAAAGGAAGAGTGGTCCCAAATGGGGTGGGAGAGGCATGTGGGGCCAGACTGCCCATGGTCTGGTAGGATTTTATTCCAAGTGCTGCCCTGTATTAGCTAGCTATTGCTGTGTAACAAATTACCCCCAAAATGTAGCAGTTTAAAACAGAACATATTTTTTATCTCACAGTTTCTGTGGGTCAGAAATCTGGGCATGCCTTCACTCTGTCCTCTACTTCAGGGCTCTCACAGGCTGCCATCAAGCTGTTGGCTGGTTTCGTGAGGAGGCTTGAAGCTCATGTTGTTCTTGGTAAGATTCATTTCCTCAGGCTACCAATTTGAGGCCATTCTCACTTCTTTACCATGCAGGCCACTCCAATGCAGCAGCTTGCTTCATCAGAGCACCCAGGCCAAAGAGGGAACAGAGAGAGTCTGGTAGCAAGACAGAAATCACCGTCTCTTGTAACCAAATCTTAGAAATGGCCTCTATCAACTTGGCCATACTCTATTCATTAGATGTAAGTCCCAGGCCTTGCCCTGAGTCAAAAAATACTGGGGGTGGGGGTAATAACAAGGGGGGGTGTCATTTTAAAAGTTTGTTTACCATACCCAAAAAGTCATTGGAGGTGTCTAAACAGGCAGGTGAGATGATCTGAGGTCTCTCTTCAAAGGATCTCTCTCAAATGTTGGGAGTGTGTCCAGGGGTTGGGCAAGAGTGAAAGCAGGAAAGCCAGTGGGGACTTCTGTACAAGATGATGCTGATTTGGACTAAGGAGGTAACAGTGGAGAGGCAGAGAAGGACAGCCAAGGATGCCTTGCCAATGGATAGGAGGGGGTGGGGACAAGCAAAGAGGAACTGGGGATGACTCCTCTGAGTTTGCTGTAACATCATGGCATGAGGGTGCCTTTGACTCTTGGAACATGTGCTCTGCATTTTTCTCCTCCTAGGAAAGACAGGATGGCACTATCCCCATCGTCCTCTGGCTCTACCCAAGGTCATACATTTGCTGGATGGCTAGCTAGCATTAGGAGCGCCTGCCGTGAGCAGAGAACAGATGTCTCCTTGTGCTGAGCTGAGGGACTGACCCCACGTCCTCGGTCTTATTAGTCTGCCCATGCTCAGACCAATCAAGCCAGTGAACTGGGGGTGTGGTTGGGGAACCACTCACCTATAACCGTGCTCACAAAGTCAGCCAGAGCTGGAGAGAGCAAAGGTGTGCGTGAGGGCCCGCCTGCATGCGTGTGTGCATGCGTATGTGTCTGTCTGTCCCTCAGATGGTCTACAGTTGGAGTGGGGAATATGGTTCACGGAAGGCGTGAGACTGAAAACTGACCCTAGAATTTTAGGACATTCCAAACAAATAAATTCCAGACAGACGAGCACTTAAATACTTTACCTGAAGAACACCACCTCCTTGGGTCAAAAGATAGAGAAGTAGATAATTATGTGGCTGCCATTTGTTGTGATAGTCTCACTGCTAAGCACTTGATAGATACCTCATTTAATTCTCATAACAACCCAATGAAGTAGGCACTAGGATTATCCCATTTCACAGATGGGAAAACTGAGGCTTCGAGAAGTTAAGCAACTTGCCCAAGGTGATGGAGCCCATGAATAGGAGAGCCAGGATTTGATGCAGGTCTAACTCCAAACCCACGTTCCTAACCGCTACCACTTCATTGCCTCTCATTTAGGCTGGTTGAAGATTCGTTTCCTGGTTCCAGGGATGAAACTAGGGGCAGGAGCTTTTCTTCTAGGTGGGTCCAGGCTTGCCAGAATTCTTGTCACCCCTGGACCTATTGGTCAGGAGAGATGGATCTGGGTTTGGCTGTCACCAGTGCAGGCAGCAGATAGTGCCCCCTGGTGGTGGTGGTGAGAAAGGGCAGTGGGTGAGAACAGAGGAGCTTGGAGTTGGCCCATTAATTGGGGGGACAGAGTCACAGCAGGGTCCATGGAGCAGAGAGCTGGTTTCATGGATTCAGGATGTCCCAGGCAAAGGGCCACAGCATCTCTCCTTTCCTGGGGGCCCTTGGGGTGTCCTCCTGCCTCCTGCCCAAGTCAGCCAAGTGCTCATCTGAGGTAACACACACCAGTAACACAAATGACGTCACCAAACACCAGCCACGCTCATCATTCAAACCTAGCATCTGCACCTAGATGCAGACTTCTGCACATTCCATATCGGCATCATCTTGTTTACAATGTAGGGCCTAGGATTTTGGCTAATTTAGAGGTTAGTCTGCCAACCAAAGGGGGAAAACCTCATGTCTAATTGTTTCTGTGTATAGGGAGCAGACCCCACACAGGGGATTTCCTGGGCGCTGTCCACATAACTTCCCAAGACCCAACTTCACAGGGAGACAGACAGGGGCCACTTATGAAACAAGACAGGAAGGGCTACGGAGCTGTAGCTTGGGAGCACCGGAGGAGTGGGGAGCTCTGTTTGGAAGGTTGGGGAAGACATGAGACCAGGTTTTGAAAACATCAGAATGCCTTGGGTATTTGCCACACCAGGTTCTGAGCCTCTTGAATGGCAATCACAAAGAAGGTGCTGACAGTCTCTGAAGGTCTGTCCCTGTCACCTGCAATGTTTTCCCATCCGGCTGTAAGAGGCCCCCTTCCTCGGGGGTGGGGGGGAGCAGGGTGAGTGGAGCAGCTGGGGAGTCAGGATGCCTGTGTTCTATTTCCAGCAGCTATCACTGACTCATGGTGTGACCTTGCTGAGGTCAGAGCTATGTTTTTCTTGCCTGGGGAAAATCAGAGGTGGCAAAGTTTGCATTTTCCCAAGGGATAGGAGTCCTGGAACATCGGGGGCCCCTCCCTGCTCCCCATGAACCCCAACCGAGTCTTCTCCTGCTGATATTAATGAAAAATGCTGAGATTTCGATTCGAGGGACTTTGAGGGACACTCAAAGCAAGAAACAAGGAGTTCTGCCATAGCAAGACTTATGGCCACGTTTATGTGCAGTGTTTCTCTAAATCCTCTTCAGATCATGTTTCCTACCAATATTTTCCCACGTGGGCCTTACATAGTCGGTGTAAGAGGAGAGAGCCGGTATTTTCTCCCAAGTTCCAAGATAAGAAAAATCCAGGCCAGGAGCGGTATTTCTCAACGTTTTCATTAGCAAGAGCCCCTTTACTTTACCACCAAGCACCCCGTTTCGAAAGCCCTTGCTAAATACTCTGCATTTATTACGTAGAAATGCATCTCCATTTTCATTAATCAAAGTCATCTGTGAGTGCCAGTGTCTGCTCAGCACAGAAGAACTAGGGCTACCGTCAAGTCCATTACCAAGAATTGCAGCTTTACTCTGGGTGGCCTCCTCGCAGGTAAAGGTCTGGTTTTCACCAGATTTTTTTTTTTTTTTTTAAATTCTGAAAAGTGTTCATCACCAAGGGGCCCAAGGACCCCAGGCTAAGAAGTGCTTCCCCAGAGAGATCAGGTGGCCCGTGAAAGTTTCTGTGACGAGCGGTGGGGCCAGGACCAGGGCCAGGACCAGGGCCAGGAGCCCGACTCCCAGGCCAGGGCTGCAGCCAACCAGACTCCCTGGCAGGAAGGGCTGGTGCACACGAGACACACGGCACACGGGTGTGCACGTGGGAGATGGGAGCCCAACCAAACACAGACGTCTTGAAGCAGTGATGCTCAGGCTCCAACCAGTGATAAATGGGCTCTCCTCGGTACTGGAGTGAGCAGCCGGAACCCAGCCTGAGACTGGAAAAGTGGAGGATATCACAGATGGGTTCAGGGCGTTCCTTGAGTTGCAATAGGGGGAACTGTTTATCCTGCCACCTGCCTGTGCTTTGTCTGACACTGCAGTAATACATCATTTATGCAGCCTGGGGTACTCTCACCCACTCTAGGAGGCTTTAGATTGTTCCCCCTGCCCTGCATCTGCCTCTTCAAGGGGATGATGCCAGAGCGGGGGCTGAACCCCTGCACCTGGGGATGATAAAGGCAAGGGGGGTACCCTGGGAAAGTAGGGACACAGACAGAGGATTCCGGAGGTCTGGCGTGGTGGCCTGGAGTATAAGCAGGGAAAGAGCTGCAGGACCCCAAGAGCTGTTCACTGGAACTCTGTACCCAGCCCCCCTCCACCCCCCACCCCGGTCTTCTGCAAACACTTGTCATCTGTTGAGCTGTTGGCTTCGTCCCAGAGGCTCAGGTTTTTGATCCATCGGAAGGCATCAAGAGTGCACGTACCTTTGGAAAAAAGGGGGGCTTAGCTCATATGGTTTTAGAATCTGAGCCTCCACCAATCTGTGTAGGGGCCAGGGACCAGGGCAGGGTCTCTGGCGGCCTGCTGCCCAACAGCTGTTCCCTGGGTTATTTTGGTTCAGTGGGAGCTTATCAATTCCAGGGTATTTGGACCAAAATAGCCAGCAGCAGGGCAATCTCTTGGTGGCTCTGTGGGGACCTCTCAACCATTTCTGAAAAGAGCTGGGGGCTGGGGGAGGAGTTTGGCTGGAGTGTAGTTTCTCCCAGGAGGGAAATCTCCTGCCCGTATCATACTTACTACCCTTTCCCATTCTACAGTTGGGACACAGGGGGTCCAGAGAGGTGGAGGCACTGGAACTGAGGCCACATCACTGGGAGCCAGGCCTCTGCCCCCAGGCCACAGTGCCTCTCCTTTGGGCCTCTGGTAGACCAGCAGCCAGGTCTAATCGTGCCAGGGGGGATTCCGGTTCCTGACAAGTTCGGGCCAGCATGGAAAGTGCTGACTGGCCCTGGCTTCCTTCAGGCCACAGCGGGGGGCCCAGGCAGCTGCTCGCCTCACTTGACCCCACGTGCCTCCCTGAGATGGGTCAAGTGCAGGTGGGCGGAGTGAGGAGGCAAAACGAGCCACTCGGGAGCTCCGCCCAACCCTAGGTCGGCAGCTCCTGGAGTGGCCCCCTAGAGCCCGCCGGGATTGCCCCCCGGCGCAGAGCCAGAGGGACGCAGGTCGCATTCCCTTTGGCAATGGGGCTGGCGAACGGGGAGCGCGCTTTGGCACCAGGCGGGCGCCGGGCTGCGGGGCACATGCCCCCAGCACGCCCTCTGGCAATCGCTGGGGTGGGGGGCGCTCGATAGCCGAACTTAGTTGTGGAGCGCTCCCGGCCAAGTCCGCGCGACAGGTCTTACTACCCGGTCTCAGAAAAAAGCTGCCCGGGCCCCTCGGCCACCTCTATCGCTCCCCGCCCCTCCCTGGGATTCTCCGGAGGGTTAATTTCCTGTCCCGGTAAGTCCTTCGCGAGTCCTCGCCCCTCCCTCCCGGACTCTCTCCCCTCGGTCCCTGCAGCCCCGGACTCCCCGAGTCCCTTCGCGTCGCGCCCGGGCGCACGCCCTCCCCGCCCCGGCCGCCGGGACCCCGCGCGCCGCCCCCCGCGCCAGGGCTCGCCCCGAGAGCCACGTCCGCGTCGCCGCGGCTCGCGCGGGTCCCCCCGCCCCCCCCCGCCCCCCGGCCCGGCCATGCGCCCCCGCGCCGCCCCCCGCGGCCCCGCCGGCGGCGCCGCGGCGCTCGGGCTCTGCAGCCTCCTCCTGGTGCCGCTGCTCCGGCCCGGACACGCGTGCCCCGCGGGCTGCGCCTGCACCGACCCGCACACCGTGGACTGCCGCGACCGCGGGCTGCCCAGCGTGCCCGACCCTTTCCCCCTGGACGTGCGCAAGCTGCTGGTGGCCGGCAACCGCATCCAGCACATCCCCGAGGACTTCTTCATTTTCTACGGCGACCTGGTGTACCTGGACTTCAGGAATAACTCGCTGCGCTCACTGGAGGAGGGCACGTTCAGCGGCTCGGCCAAGCTGGCCTTCCTCGACCTCAGCTACAACAACCTGACCCAGCTGGGCGCCGGCGCCTTCCGCTCGGCCGGGAGGCTGGTCAAGCTGAGCCTGGCCAACAACCACCTGGCGGGCGTGCACGAGGACGCCTTCGAGACCCTGGAGTCGCTGCAGGTGCTGGAGCTCAACGACAACAACCTGCGCAGCCTCAACGTGGCCACCCTGGCCGCCCTGCCCGCGCTGCGCACCCTGCGCCTGGACGGGAACCCCTGGCTCTGCGACTGCGACTTTGCGCACCTCTTCTCCTGGATCCAGGAGAACACGTCCAAGCTGCCGAAAGGTGAGCCTGCCGGCAGGCTGGGCCGCGCACCAGGCTGGGGGTGAGAGGAGGGGAGCAGGGAGCGTCCCCGGGCAGGCGGGCTTGGGTCCAGCCTGCAAGCCGGGGCTCGGGTGCACCAGGCACCCGAGCAGCTGCCCCAGGAGAGTCGCTCAGGTATAAGCCCGGCAGGTTCCCAGCCTGAACTTGGCCTGGGAGTCGGCTGGGAAAAGTGGGTGGGGAGGGTTACATCTGGATTCTCTGGAGTTTCTGGGCCCTGATGCCGTGCTTCTCCACCTGTTTCTCCAACAGCTCACTTTCTGGAGTTAGGGACCTCCCATTTCTGTCACCCATGTCGGAGTTCAACTCATCAGGTTTTGGGTCATAGGACTGGTGGGTGCAGGTTATTTATGGGCCCTCCTGTGTGGGAAAGAGCTGAGTGCCATTCTTGCTACACTGCACATCGAAAGATCCAGCCAATTCTAGGGGCTCTCCAGCAGCTTCCAGAGCCTAAGCAGGCCTGTTTCTCAGCTCCCAGGTTTGTTCTGTCCAAAAGGGTTGAGAAATATTTCTGGTGAGGAATACTGGCAGCCCACTAAAAGCCAGTGATGCAGTAGAGATTTGCAGTTCTGTGAACGCAAAAACCTTAGCAGGCTGGTGCACCCTTTGTTTTCCTGGTGTACTTTTCCCGTGGTGACACGGATGGATGTACAGAGCCCTTTGGCAGATGGAAACACAGAGGGCACAGACGTTAAGGGGCCGGGCAAAGGCCAGCGGAGGGAAGCAGAGACAGAGCTGAGAGGAGGGGGACCCCAGCATCCATAGAGATGAGCCCCAGGATGGGGAGCAGGCAGAATGTCCGTATGCTCCGTGGATTCCAGCCTTCCACTGGTAGGCATGTGAGCCTCAGTCCCAGCAGTGACCTTGCACAGCCAGACTCTGCCTCCCACCTGGCTCCCGAGGGTTTGGCAGAATAGGATCCAGAGCTGTAAGACACATGTTATAAAAAGTGACACAGATGTGTGACATAGATGTGGATTTAGCTTTGGTATATCTTTTTTCCACTTCCTGGATTTCAAGGATGTTGCTCATCTATGCCCTGAATTCCTGTGATCACTTCTTCACTCCATACTTTACTAAACATGAACCCTAGGCGTCGGGGCCATCACTCCCCAGCAGACGCAGGCCCCTGAACTGGCATTTTCAGCCTGGGCTGGCTCTACCAGGGGAGCAAGTCCTAAAAAGATCTGACCTGCCCTCATTCACCTGCCTGCCCCACCAGAAGACTGTCCCGGAGACAGGAATGTCCCGATAGAAGCCTCATTGTGGAATGGGGGTATGCCTTGGTTCTGATCGCTCTTGCCTTTGGTTTTTGATGGAGTTGGCATCTTTAACCTCTTTGGTTAGCTGAGTTGGTATAATTGGTTCCATGTGTTATCGCAGGAGGGCAAGGTGTTATAGGGTTGGAAGCTGTAGATTTCAGTCTCAGTTCTGCCACAGACGGATGGCTGTGACCTTGAACAGGCCACATGTCCTGTCTGGGTTTCAGACTCCTCATCTCTAAAGTGCTTTGGTTGACCTCTGAGGTCCCTACACAGTCCTGGTTGTAGAGTCAGAAGACAGAGGTCTGAGTCCTGGTGGAAAGCCTGGGTGAGTCTGGCCAGGACCCTTAACTTTTCTGAGCCCCATCTTCCTCCTGTGTGAAATTAGGACACGGGTGATGCCGGGTGGTCCATCTAACCCGGTGCTTGTCAGGATCAAAACCAGCTGATGCGGGTGAATGTAAAGAACAGTGAGACCTTAGGATGTTATTCCTCCTACGGCCGGTGATGTGGGGAAGGAAAGGGACACCAGGTGGGGATATGTGGCCGGGGGGAAAGGATGGACAGGCTCAGAGTAAGGAACATTGTCCAGGCCCTGATTGAGGGTTGGTCTGGGTCAGTGAGGAGAGATGGAGGCAGCGAGAAGAGAGCATGAGGGCTTCGGTCACCTCACGGCGGGTGGGAGGGGGTGTGTCAAGAGTAGTGGTGGGCTGCCATGCGTGTGGCCAGAGCAGTGTCCGGAGAACCGTGAACCAGAGCAGGGTAGGTGGTGAGGGGACGAACACGGGGCCTTGATGCGAGACAGCTGAGGTCTGATTTCCACTCACATTTCTCTCTGAGCCTCAGTTTCCCTGCCTCTGACTTCAGCACACGGTAACAGTATCCCACACCTTGTTTGCGGTGAAGTTTGAATGAGATCAGCTCCGTCGGGGGTGCAGGGGTGCTTAGCACAGCCTAGGTGCTTGCTAGATGCCCGTCGTCCCTTCCCTCCTCCTCTTGCCCTTGTGCTCCTCGTATCTGCACAGAGGCGCCGGGCAAAGCGGCTGAAGGCCCAGGCTCCGTTCAAAGCCTGCCTCGACCTCTTGCTAGCTAGCTATGTGACCCTTTTGCAGCCCCGTTACCTCGCCCATGAAATGGGGATGATGCTAGTGCCCACGCCCTAGGGTTATTGGAAGGATTAAAAAGGTATTATTTATGAAGTTCTTAGAAGAGTGTCTGATACACAGCAGCACGATCTGAGTGTTAGTGCTGTCATGTTTTAACTGGAAGGCCCAGAGGGGTGATGGCACAGAGGGTTAACAACGGCTGGGGGACGTAGGGGACCTCAAGACTTCCAGCCGTGGCCACCCACTTCCTGCCAAGGAAAATCGGGCTCCGTGGGGCCCAAGCTCCAGGGGTTTGTAGGCAAGTGGCCTGCCTCTCCCAGGAGAGGGGATTCAAAGTCAGGAGCAAAGGGATCCTGTCCTCGTTGCCTTGTCCTCGCCTCCCCATCCCCTCCTCCCCCAGAGAAGCAGAACAGAGCAGAGCAAGTGACCTTGACTGGCTCCTTCAGTTACAAAAATGCCTTCGTCTGCCAGGCGAGCCTCCTGTGCGGTCACCGTGCTGATGGGAGCACTCCGCCACCGAGCACACCCCCGTGGGGAGGAAGGACCGCCTTGGAGGCGCCGGATCCCCTCCATCCAGGCTCCTTTGGGGGTTGGGCAGGGCTGGGTCTGGGGACGCAGGAGGATCTGTCCCACTGGTGCTGGGGCTGAAGGAAGAGGGTGAGGGGTTGCCTGCTGGAATGCCCATCAGCCAACTTAGCAACAAAACAAAGCGGACACACCTAAAATAAGAAAACAAACAAGGAAACCCCCCCCGGATGCCTAGTTAACTCTGAATTTCAGATAAACAATGAATCATATTTTAGTATAAGTATGTCCCATGCAGTATTTGGGATATACTTGCACGCAAAATTATTTGCTGTTTTCTGAAATTCAACATATAAATGTGCCATCCTGTATTTTACTGGTGGCCTGACCTTGTGGTGTTTGTCACTTTGTAGTGCACAGATGCCATCCCCTTTAATACAACTGTGCCTGGCAGGTACCTTAACCCACCGTTGATCCAACAAGGTGCAAAGAAGTGAAGTGGTTTGCACAAGGTCATGTCATCAGTGGCTGAGATGAGTGTGCACTCAGGAGTGGCTGACCCTACACCTAATTCTTTTTGATGGGCATAGATCAGGAGGGGGGTGAGGCTATCCCCTGCCCCCTCCCAATCTCCGATTGCTCTGGGTCACAGCTGGTGGACCTCCTTCCAGCCCCAGATCCTGAACCTGGGCTGGTGGTTCTCCCGTGAGATAGTGGATCCCAGGCAATTTGGGACAGTGACCATCCCACTTTAAGTAGAAAGGACTCCAGACTTGGAAGCAAGCGTCCTTGGAAATCACTCAGGTGAGCCGTGGGGTAGAGAGGGAGAGGGTGGGAGTGTCTGGGGAGATGGGGAGCAGCAGGGTGACTGACACCCTTGAGCTTTAAAGCTTTTCCCTGCTGGCCTAGCACACGGTCTCCTTATAGCAGCCCAGGGAGGTGGATCTGAACGAAGACATACAGGGAGCTTGGTTGAAATGCAGATTCTTGAACCCCCAGGCCTACTGAATGGGTCTGCATTTTTAACACCTTACCCCCACACCCCCAGCCCAGGGACTTGCAATATACACAGAAGCTTGAGAACTGCCTGGAGGTAGGAGGGCCTTTTGGTACATCTCTAGAAACCCAAGGTGTTGTCTTGGTTCAGTAGCTGAACCAAGAGAAACATCTCTGAGATTTTTCTTTTGCGAGCAAAGGAGTGTGAGTAGGAGCATTTTAAGGCTCCTTCTAACTCTAAAAATTCTATGGTTTCAAGGGTAGGGAATATTGTCCTCATACTAAGGATTGGAAAGTTGAGGCCCGGGGAGGCCAGGCCCCTCTAGAGACTCCTCTGCTGGAATCTAGGGGGGCCATGTCTCTGTGCAGCAGGGTGGGGCAGAGCACCCAGACCACTCGGGACTCTGGGCTCATGGGACACCTCACCTGCATCCAGCGGCACTCCGGGAGCTACAAGAAGGAAAGGCTACTGGGTTTGAGAAACCATAGCGGCAGGCAGGGGGCTGCCTCCGTCCTCGGCTTCGGAGGTGCACGGAGCGAGCAGATGACCCAGGTGACACAGCCCACACCGTGTCTGAGAGTGCGTCACAGGAGAGGCATATGTAGGTCCCAGAGTGGGAGGCCCAATTGCCCAGGCATCTTCTATCCCCTCCCTCTCTAACCACAACACACGTGGCCTGCAGGTCACAGCCCACAGAACCAGCAGAGAGATCTGGGCTCATCTTGCACCCCAAGACCTTGACACATGTAGCTATGGGGCTGGAAGGGCTGGGGGCAGGGAGGGGGGGACCGGGAGCCACAGGTCATGTTTTGGGTCTGTAACTCTGGCCCCTTGGGGGACAGCCTCTTAAGAGAAGGTCCACTATAATGCCTGGAGCCTCCAAGCATTTGGGGGCTCAGCCCCTGTGGGTTCCCGAGCCCCTCTCTAAGAAGGGGTGTCCTGGCAGCAAGGTCCTGGACGAGTTCCATGACTAACCCCTCCTTCCAGGCCCAACTGAGCACTCGCTGGGGGAGCTCCCCCCGCTTGCCAGTAACCCCACTTCCTTTTCTCATGTCAGACACGATGAGGGCCTGG